TTTTGCCATTCTGAAGTAGATAGCTCGACCCCTGCTTCCGTTTCCCACCGTACCGTGAAACCTAAGGGGCACTGGTCCCCACCACTCTGCAGCATGGAGTATAGTTGCGATATGCCATGGATGAGATGCTGTCTGGCGACACAAAGTTGTTCGAAGTGGGACAGTGGGCGGTGAAGGTGAGCCTTCCCAGCCAGCGAGGTTACATAGGTTGTAAGCTGGTGGTACCGAAAGTTGTCCAGGGCGCTGGGTCCGCGGTCTTGGAGTAGAACGGCCAGCGGTTTAAGGATCGGACCATTACACCATTGATGCAGGTAGGTCCAATCCGTGGCCCCAAAGTTCCTCAGATCCCCCGGGGAGAGTCCCCCCGCAAGTCTCGGGTTATGCGTCACGGGCATAAGTGGATTCGGCGATGACGTAAGTTGTTGAGAGTACCGGATGACGCACCAGACCTTCAGAGTTGCATCCACCAACGGGTTGCCCGTTCGCAGTTCCCGAAACGTGGCGTACCCTAGCCACAACTGGGACGGGATTTTACCTCCCCCCGCCTGTTGCTTTTCCATGTCTACCCACTGTTTCCCGCTAGGGGCTGCATGCCAATCCATAAACCGAGACAGATGTGTAGCCCGGTAGTAAGTAAGGACTGAAGGCAAGCCCATGCCTCCCTCACATCTAGGGCGCTCCAGTGTCGATTGCAGTATGCGGGCGGGTTTCTGGTTCCATACGAACTGCTTAAAGGCGGACGACAACGTTTGGAAGAAGTTCCGAGGGACAGTGACCGGGATCTTTTGGAACAGGTACAATATACGGGGCATGACATTCCTTTTAATGGCATTTATGCGTCCGAACCAGGATATATATTGAGGGGCCCAGCGCTTCATATCTTGTTGTAGGGCTGTGAGTAATGGGACATAGTTCATGGAATAGGCTTGAGCTAGGTCACACGGTAACCAGATGCCTAGGTACCGCAATTTACACAAACAAATCCGGAAGGGGAAATGCGCCTGGATGTGTCTACAAAGGGCCGGGTCTCGTGTGAGGGGCATCAGTTCCGACTTGGCCAGGTTGAGCTTCAGGTTGGAAACTGCGCCATAAAGTCGGAAAGCCTATAGTAAATTCGGTAATGAGATTCTTGGCTGTTCGAGGAGGAAGAGCATATCATCGGCGTATGCCGCCACCCGATGCTCCTCCCCCCCTACCAGGCACCCCGCTATGCCCCTGTCCCGCCTAACCGCCTCCAGGAAGGGCTCCAGGGTGAGGGCAAACAGGAGGGGGGACAGCGGCAGGCCTGGCGCGTGCCATTGCAAATTTTGAACACACCCTTGAGTGCTCCATTCACCCGTATACGCGCCGTCGGTTTGGTGTACAGCGCCACAACCCATGACCTTAGACCCGGTCCAAACCCCATGTACCCCAGGGTCTCCTGCAGGTAAGTCCAGTCAACTCTATCGAACGCCTTCTCGGCGTCAGTGGAAAGGAGAACCATCTCCTTCCCGTTGGTTCGAGCTACGTGGATAGAGTTGAGGGCCCGTATGGTATTATCCCGGGCCTCTCGGCCGGGTATGAAACCGACCTGATCCGGATGAACGAGCTCCGGCAAAGTCCTGGCCATCCGAAGTGCCAGTGCTTTAGCAAACACTTTAAGGTCCGCATTAAGCAATGAAATTGGTCTGTAACTGGCACAGTCCATGGGGTCTTTGCCCTCCTTTGGGAGAATCGTAACCGTTGCCCTCAGTGTATCTTCATGGAATCGACCGTCCGTATCTCTGAACGTCCGTAAATAAGAGGCTGGTAAACCGTCCGGCCCCGGAGCCCTATGAGCCTTGGTGGCCTCCAGCGCTGCAGCGAGTTCCTCCACCGACAAAGGAGCCTCCAGTTCCGCCTCCTGCTCCGGAGTGAGTCTGCGTGTAACATGGGCTTGTAGGTACGCCATTATCCTCTCCTTGTGTAGTCGTTCCTCTGATGCTGTACGGTGTTGCGTTTGGTCGTAAAGTGCCGCATAGTACTCCTGGAATGCAGCCAGTATGCCATTTGGGAGGCGTGTAGTATCCCCCCTCCCCGTGCGTATTTTATGGACATGTAGCATCCTGCGCTTTTCACGGAGCATCCGAGCTAACAGTCTCCCGCACTTATTGGAGTGTTCGTAGAAGTACCTAGAGGCCTTCCTCGCAGTGAGCAGCAACCCCTGAGACAAAATCGTTTGCAAGTCCCTACGTGCCTCAACAAGTTGGAGGTAAGTGCCCTCATCTAGGGACTGCTTATGAGTTCCTTCTAATTCTGCGATGCGCGTTGCCAAGCTGGTAATGCGAGCCCGTCTGTCCTTTTTGCGCCTGGTGCTCTCAGAGATGAAGAAGCCCCGAATGACGCATTTGTGCACCTCCCAAAATCCTAAAGGTGTCGTATCAGAGTTGTCGTTGGTGTTAAAGTAATCGGTCAGGGCGCAGGTCGCTGACTGCGTGAGTGCCAAGTCATCCAGCATAGTTTCATTGAGCTTCCATTGTCGTTCACTGGGCTTAAATAGCGGGGAACTGGTATGAACCAGGATCGGTGCATGATCCGAGTGGCTTATGATGCCTATTTCCGCTCCTTGCAAGAGGTTTAAAAATTCTTGTGCCAGAAAGATATAATCGATGCGGCTGTATTGTGCGTGCGCTGCAGAGTAATGGGTATAGTCTCTCCCCTCCGGATTGCAAGCCCTCCAACAATCTACCAATCCAATTTTGTGCAGGGCGCGCTGGGACAGCCGGATACTGGTAGCCGAGACCACAGTCCTTCCCCTGGATGTATCCAGCCGGGGGTCCAGAGGGACATTGAGGTCGCCGCCAAGGACCAAAAGGCCCTCTCGGAATCTCTCTAATTTGGCCAATGTCCGGGAGAGGAAGGTGTGCTGACCCCTATTTGGCAGTATATGCAAGCGAAGGTATACGCATGGTCCGCTATGGTGCCCTTTAAGAATAGGTATCTCCCCATCGGATCCAATTGGGACGCCAAGTGCAGGGGCGTATTAGCTGCGAGGCAAACAAGGCATTTGCCTTGGGCGGCATTTTTCAGGGGGCCGCCCCCCAAATGCCCAGGGCAAATGCCTAGTTAGCCTCGCGGCTAACTGACATCCCGAGCGGGCGGGCAGGCTGGCGGCTAGCGAGGGAGCACTTCCTACGAGCTCTCTGCTCAGCTCCCTCGCCGCCGCAGAGTGAGGCTGGGAGCCGAAGAGGACGCCAGCCACCGACCACCAGGGATACCCCAGCACCTCCCAAAGGTAAGGAGGTTGGGGGGATTTAAATTTAAAAAAGTTAATGTGTGTGTGTGTTTGCGGGGAGTGTGTTTCAGGGTCTGACTGTGTGTGTGTGTGTGTGGGATCAGTGTGTGTTTTGTGTCTGACTCAGGTAGTGTGTGTGTGTGTGTCTGACTGTGCTTCAGGGAGTGTGTGTCTGACTGTGTTTGTGAGTGTGTGTGTGTGTGTGTGTGTTTGTGTCTGTGTGTTTGTCTGTGTGTGTGTGGTCTGACTGTTTTGTGTCTTCGTCTGTGTTTCTGTGTTCGACTGTGTGTGTGTTTGTGTCTGTGTATGTGTCTGACTGTGTGTGTGTGGACTGTGTGTGTTTGTGTCTGTGTATGTGTCTGACTCGTGTGTGTGTGTGTGACTGTGGTGTTTGTGTTCGTGTATGCGGTCTGACTGTGTGTCTGACTGTGTGTGTGTGTATGTCTGACTGTGTGTGTGTGTGTGTAAGGTGTCTTGACTGTGTGTGTGTGTTTGTGTCTGTGTGTGTGTTCCGACTGTGTGTGTTTTGTGTCTGTGTTTCTGTGTTTGTGGAGTGTGTGTGCGCCGCGGTGTGTCTGACTGTATGTGTGTGTTTGTGGACTGTGCGGTGCTCTGTCTGTGTGTCTGACTGTGTTTGTGTCTGTCTGTAAGTTTGTGTTCCTGACTGTGTGTGTGTGACTGTGTGTGTGTGACTGTGTGTGTGACTGTGTGTGTGACTGTGTGTGTGTTTGTGTCTGTGTATGTGTCTGACTGTGTGTCTGACTGTGTGTGTGTATGTATGTGTCTGTTTGTGTGTGTTTGTGTCTGTGTTTGTGTGTTTGTGAGTGTGTGTTTGTGTGTTTGTGAGTGTGTGTGCGTGTGTCTGACTGTATGTGTGTGTGTTTGTGTCTGACTGTGTGTGTGTGTGTGTGTCTGACTGTGTGTGTGTGTGTTTGTGTCTGACTGTGTGTCTGACTGTGTGTGTGTTTGTGTCTGACTGTGTGTGTGTTTGTGTGTGTGTTTGTGTATGTGTCTGACTGTGTGTGTGTGTGTGTGTCTGACTGTGTGTGTGTATTTAGAAGGTGGGGCGGGGGGGGAGAGTTGGGTGGGGGTGGAGCGGGGGGGAAGGGGCGCCTGAGTTTTGTCCTGCCTAGGGCAGCACAAAACCAGGATACACCACTGGCCAAGTGGAGGAAAGGCGTCGTCTGGGCGAAAAGTATAGCCACCCCCGCCTTTTTGGCAGTTGGGTGATTAGCGTAAAATCCCAACGGGAATCGCCGATTCTCCAGTTTAGGCGCATCTCCCCCTTTGAAGTGCGTCTCTTGCAAAAACGCCACGGATGCTTTTGCAGCCCAGAGCTGCCGTAGCAACTGTGATCGCTTTTCGGGCATGTTAGACCAATAGGTCAGCCGCGCCGGAACGAAGCCCCGACCGGGCGCCATCGCTGCAACGGTGGGGCAACCCCGCCCCGGCACAGGTGGACGTGTGAGCAAGGGAAAATGTGGGAAAGTCCGGTCCAGGTAGCAGTAGGAAGTAGTCTCACAGCCCTCTGTGGGCAACGTCGACCCTAAGCCGGAGTGTATAGCCCTCCCCCGGGGATATTATGCCCGCGTGAGGAACCCCGGCTCTATTTACAGTGAGGGTCTGTCACAGTAGGGAACAAAAAGACCCCTTACTGTCTTGGCGTTTCCATAGGATGTAGTGGTTGTAACTGCCCCAGTGTCCGTCGGCCCTCCCCCTGTGTGTCATACATGCGAGTATCCAGATGCTAAACCATAAAATAACGGGATTCTTCTTTTTTTGGAGCAGGTGGGTAAGCGGCCCGCAAGGCCCGCCGGGCATCCAAGGAGGTCTGCGACAGATCATGATACAAGGCCACCGGGGCATCCATATAGCGAAGGTCGGGGCGGGAGCGCGCGGCCTTCATCAGCTCTTCCTTGAGCGGGAAGGACGCCAGGGCGCAAATCAAGTCCCTCGGCAACCCATCATGCCGGGGCGCCCGCAGAGCTCTATGCGCCCTCTCAATGTCGAAGTCATCTGGCGCCGCCTCCCCCAGCAGGTGCGAGAACAAGCCGGTGAGTAGTTCGTGTGGCAGCTCCCCTTCAGCCTCCGGTAACCCCCGGATCCTAATGTTGTTCCGCCTACCTCTATTGTCGAGATCTTCGACCTGACGGCGGAGATCTAGGAGTAGGTTCCCCTGCCTGGTGGTCGCCAGGTCCGCAGCTTGCTGCAGATGGGAGTTCTGAAGGCGCTCAGCATCCAAGGCGTCCACGCGGTGCTCCAGAGCGGCGAGATCCGCACGCACAGCGACAATCTCCTCCCTGATCACCGCCCGCAGCTCGGCCACCATTTAAGATTTATCTCTCCTGTTGAGCATGCTGGAAGAGATAGCGGCTATATCTAGCGAGATTTGGGACAGGGCCGCCGGCTCACTGGTGCCACGGGATGAGCCAGCAATGCTTGAGCCGGGTGAGGCGGGAATCGACGTGTCAATGGCGTCCGACAGGCCCTGCGGCCCAGCAAGGTAATCATCCATCGGGCCGGTTTGGGACCGTAGCAGAGCCCCACCGGGCTGCCCAGAACTTAGTGCTCGCTTGGTTTTCCCCATTATATCAGAATTTGAACTTGTCTGGATGCTAATTATCACGGGCTATACAGGGTGAGGCCTAGGAACACAGGCACCGTGCGTCTCACTCCATCCGAGGTCAGGCCACGCCCCCCCCCCATTGTACCATTTTCAGTGTGAGGAGAAAAATATAAATAAAAAAATCAATAGCAAGTGACAGAAAGATGAAGAACAAAAATTCACACATGTGGTAACGTATTGAGAATTAAATTAAAACTCATCCCATTTAGATTTGTGTACCTCTAGGAGACAGCTACCTATGGAAGAATAACACTGCAGGACAGACATTATTATGTCGTAGGCGCTGTGTTTTCTGTAGATGAAGTGGTACTTGAACTTCTCTGGTGACAGCTCGCTAGCTTACTGTCCCTTAACATGTCAAAGTAGATGAGACTGTCATATTACTTGGCCATCAATGGGACATAGTTAATGCGAATCCCTTCATTCCCAGGAAGCCGTTGGAGGTTTGAGAGATAGAAAATGCAGCCTGTATGTTTTTCCGAGACACACTATTGTTCATCTCTTGTCATGTAGCGATTTACCATCTTCTATTTTGAGACTTTGGTTGCTATTTTTTTAAAATTATTATTATTACAATATAGACGCCAAAGCATTCTATTACAATATGTGCACAGAAATACAGAACATGCTTGCAATGCCTCAACGGCAAGTGCAACATGATACATGACTATACATTTTAAGGATTCTGCACAATTTATGTAAAATAACATGCTCTGGCTAAGCATACATGTCTAAACAATATACATGAAATAAGCTTGTAGACGAAGAGTGTGTCCATTAAGCTGTAGTAAATCTGAATAAACTATAAGAAATAGACCATCGTGCTTCAAAGAAAATTTAATAAACAAAAAAATAAGTATGCATTGTGAAGGCATCAGGAGAAAATGGAATCAAGCCAGCAGGAGTCTCAGTCCCAGGTCATCTCATGCTCCTCAGAATACATCATAGCCTTGTCTGGCATGATGACCCAGGTGGAAGCCACATGAGCCTCGTAGTGGAGCATTAACATAAGCCTAGCTGTGGTTTCAAAAGTCACTCTGGTAAGGTAACCAGTCTGCATAGAGCAGGATAGGGCTGCTGATAGAGCTGGCCTGTTTATTAGTGGCACCTGGCTTCTTTGATGTTGTGATGACTCAGGTGTTTCCTTCCTAAATGGAGTAAAGTTCCTTTGCTAGGAGCGCAGCACCAGAAGGATGGGCTTGTAGCCCCTGCAGGTCACTTTCTTACTGGTGCTCACTGATCCTGCACTCCAGAAATTGGCAAAGATTTAATCCAGTATGGCCTCAAGAACATGTTGTGCTTTGCTGGGGTTTGGGAAACATGCGGTCTCCACCATGGTAGGTGAGTGAGCCATAGTAGATTGCTCCAGCTTTGATTGCCTCCCCCTTCTGACCTGCCAGGTATCAGGGCTCTTGCACAAGTGTAGTTGCTACTGGGCACCTCTTGGTCAGGAGATCAGCCGCCTCACACACCCAGTGCGCACTAGGCCACATCTGCCCAGAGGGGTGTGTAAGCTCCCAACAAGTCACACACTGCTCCTTAGTATGTCGAGTACATGTCACTCGGTTCATCCCTTTTAAGCCAAAAGAGGCTGCAGACAGCAATTCATATCAGGACAGTGGAGGAGCTCACACGAAACACGTCTATCCGCCATGTCAGTCAGACTCCAACCCCCCTATTTAAGTTGTTTTCTTAAGGTTCTAAGTTGTCACACAATTTTTTAGACCATGAATGTTGCTTTGTCCGTTTATGTAGGGTTACTGGTTTGCTACAAATTGGGACTTTCTCTTTTATGTTAAACCACATTCATCTTATTTGAGTGCAGTGTCCCTGTCCCACTTAATCCTGCAATGTAAAACATTGCAGTTTTTTTGAGAAACGGCAATGTTTACTTTGCAGCATTAAGGCAGAATCTAGAGGCGCTTCCAGGAGTTTTCCAGACTCTAGGTTCCCTATATGATGCTGGATGTCCTCACGCTCTACATGAGGACATCCAGCATCAGTGAAAACCCCATAGAAAAACTTTGAGTCAATGCTTTCCTATAGGGAGAGCCTAATGAGCTCGCAGTGTATGCTTATTAGGTCAGATGATGTCGGAGACGGCAATGCGCAGTGAACCAGTGCTGAGGGACAGCGGTGCTGGATTTGGGTTAGTAAACAATTTATTTTTAACTCTTTACATGCAGGGGGTGGGGGAATAGAATGGGGGCAGAGGGCAGTATAGTGTTGTTAATACAAATCTGTATTCCTACCACTATGGTATCTCTTTAATGATCTGTAATATAAATCAGTTTAATGGCTTCTAATTAGTAGCTGGCTTCACAGTTATTAACAGGCTGTCATAGAAATCACAATTTGTTTGGACTAAAAAAGATTCTGAAAATGTATACTAAGACTAGTTTGAAGGTGACATGAACAGGGTTATTCACTAAACATGTACGAATTGACAAAAACAAAACACAAAAACAATGAAAACAACTGAATTCCCACCACATTGGCAGTTCTCAACATGATTTTGATTTAATTTTATTATTTATAGGGCACTGATCATTTTCATTTACGAAGTATGTTCTATCAAGGCTTTACAAAAATTGCTTTGTTTACAGGTACACGCAAAAACAAATACAGGAGGCTGTAGTGGTTATGGTGCCTGGGATGCACAAGCACTTTCCCAGGGTAAACCTAGCTGGAGTCCGCTATGCACCGTTGTAGCGGTTATGGAGTCAGGCATGTCCTGGCTCCATTGCACAGTAAGTAGTGGCTTTAACACTGTGTGTTGTACGAGAAACTGTTAGCAATACGAGGAACTGGGAAGAAGGGAAATTGCATGTGATCACTAGAATACAGAGATTGCGGGGTTATTTTTAATCCTATAGGACTGAATATTAGTGCCAGAGCCTTTACATTACGACACTGAGTATACAAGGACAAAGGATGTAATGACAGCATAGTGTAATATTTGGTTCTTAAAGGGGTTAAACACTGACATATTCCCAGACATAGATTCAATTTCTGGGCAATCAAAGCTTGGAAATAGAGCTCTACACTTAACGTTTCATGGTAATTCAAAAAATCAATTACAAAGTAAATGGACAAAATGAATTCAGTTTACAATATCAAAACCAATATTTAATGTAACAAATGCAAATTCATGTTAGGAAGGAGTGAATGAATATGTAAAAAAAATTTAATGGCACACACTTCAGAATCAAATATGGCTATATGTAAGGTTTCACTGTCCAATTATTAGCAGATAATAGATAAATTAAATTATAATACACAGCACCCTATAGAGTCAGGGTGTATCTTAATGGTAAAAGGATAGATTTTTGAAGTCATGAGCATATAGGACTGGATAATTATTATTCCCAAATTAATTAAAACAGAGCTCTACTTTAAAACGAACACATTAGTGTTCAGAATAAAAAGATTTCACAAAAACTAACCTGATTACCCCATTTCAGCACCTTCGTCCATTGGCCCTGGGTCACAGTCATCTGCTGGACGTCCTCATAGAGAGCAGGAGGACATCCAGCATCATTTCATGGAGTCAAACTCTATGAAACTCCGGGAAGTGCCTCTGTTGACTGTCTGCAGTCTGTTTTACATTGCAGGACTAGAGGTGGAGTTATCCCTGAAAGGTAATTATTGCAGTTTCTTAGAAACAGGAATAATTAACTTTGCAGAGTTAAGGGACCTGGGACACTGCACCCAGACCACTTCAATGAGATGAAGTGGTTTGGTTGCCTTTAGTGTCCCATTAAGAAGCTCCGGTAATTCCCAGTTTCCTATTGGCTGACGCGATTGGATGCAAGGTCCTCTTACAACCTATAGGATAGTCCCAAGTCACTGATAAAGAACAAGTAATGTGTAATGCCAATAAATGAGCCATCACCGTTTGGGCTATAATTAAAAATGAAAAGGAGAAACCTAAATAACTAATCTCCATTTTATATATATGGTCCCCAATTAGAAATATAGAAATGTGCTATATATGTTAATGCCCCAAATGTCACTGATCAAGAAATCAAATATTTATCCTGCTCTCTTCAGTACAGTGGAAGAAAACCATAATCAAACTACATTCTTCCAGAAATCAAATTATCTCTAAGCGAAATGCAATGTAAAATGCAGCGACCAATACCGCGTCGGTCACATTACAACAACATGCCTATCAGATCATGTCAAATGTGTAGATTAACAGAGAAGCATGGAGTTTGGGTGCTCTTTTTGTGTCACAACTTTAATAATATTTTGCATAGAAAGCAACATAGCACATAGATACTATCAAATACTGAAGAAGATCACGGTGGGGTATGATGGCAAACTACCAGTTACTGGTATACCTAAATTGAAATTAATATTTAACTTGGGAAGAGCTTCTTTTAAAGGGTTAGTCCAAGCACCATGACCACTCCAGTAATTTGAAGAGGTGGTCTGGAGCCTGTATGTACAGAGTTTCACTGTGAAATACTGTTAGGATGGTGTTTAACCCCTCCTCTGCTGCTGGAGCTGTACCTCCACCTGTAGCAACTTCACCAGGATGTCCATGGCCAGCATGGGACTAGAGTTCCGAGCTGGATTGTCAGCTGATTCTCTCAGCCAATGAAAGTCCATCACCAGGCCACCATGGAGCATCAGAGCTTGGCAACTATCCAGATAAGGTGGAAAACCATCGCTAAATGGTTTGCGCCAATACCTGGGCAACCAACCTTGGATCAATCACTACAGACAGTTGCAGTAGTTATGATGATTGGAGTAACGCTTTAACTGCTAAAGACACTTGTGAGAGAGGCACCCATACATTTATTTATTTGTGGGATATCAATCACGAGTGAAAAAAGGTGCTTTCACTCCTGGGCATGACACTGCATTTGGAGAAAGCTAATTCCTACATATCAAAAGATACACTTAACGGTCTGTCTCAGAGCTCCTCAACGTCCATTAAATATAACTGCCGTCCAAACCCTTGGGACTATAACTCATTCTCTGCCATCCTACTGCATGGAAAGGATTATGGAAGCTGCAGTCCAGCTACAGATGGGAATCCACAGTTAGACAGCTCAATTCATTTGAAACGAGGGGTGACCATGTATTCCACAACAATTTTAAAGGACACTATAGTCACCAGACCAACTGCAGATTATTGTATTTGTTCTGGTGAATCATTCCCTTCAGGCTTTTTGCTGTAAACACTGTCTTTTCACAGAAAATGCAGTGTTTACATTACAGCCTAGTAATAACTCCACTGGCCAATCCTTTGGTAGTGCTGCAAGCACCTGTAGCAGCCATCTTTCATGGTCTCTACCCTCTGCATGGAGACACTGAACTTTCCTCATAGAGATGCATTGATTCAAGCCAGGGCTGTGTTTGATTTGTGCTGGCTCTGCCCCTGATCTGCCTGCTTGACAGTTTCAGCCAATACAATGGGTAAGCATTGTGATTAGCTCAGAGAATCACTTGTGATGTCAGCCAAGCAGCCAGATAAGGGCATACGCAGCAGCTGCAGACTTTAATACAAGTATGATTTTACTATATTTAAGAAGGTAAAGGGAAGCAAAAATGAGATCTGCTGGAGAATTGACTCAATATATTGTTGTGCAGGTTCCGACCTCACGACACAACAGGATTGGGGAAGAATTGAAGACCATGGCTGCCGCTATGTCCACCAAGGCCAACCTTCAGCACCTCACGTCCACAATTCAGGATGCGGTGCGGGCGGCGGTGGCAGGCCTGCGGACTGAGGTCACTGCACAGGAAGGCCGCATCCACACACTGGAGCGCCAGGCTGAGCTTGTCAAGGTGGGATGCTACTTGCCATGAGATGCCATCTGGAGGATTTGGACAACAAAGGTCGGCTGTGTAACATCAAGGTACCCGAAGTGGATGGGGAGGAAAATGTGGAGGAGGAGACGCTCTCTTCTCTTATGCTTGAAGAGCGGTGTGCGCGGAGGCCCGTGACTGCAGCCTTGCGGGACTGCAACATCCGTTAAAAGTGGGGCACCCCATTTGCATTGTTGGAACGACATCAGCACGGCTGGGCCTCCATAAGATGTTCCACAGTTCCTGGAAGAAATGGGGCTGCCCCCCACTACTGTCATCAACTGGGTGCTGGGACCCTTGGAGCAGAGGCCTCGGCCGCAGAGAGCTCCCAGATTTTGTGCAAGTAGATCTCTGCCAGGCCCTCTGCCCCGACGGCGCCCAGATCCTGCTGTACCCGGGGATTGAGACTTCAGAGTGGACTGCACCTGCTTGCCTGCACCCACCTACGACTCCATGGTGAACACCCTGGGCCTGAGGTACATTTCTCATCCCTCCATTCTGTTTGTTTCTCCTTTTTATTTGTGTGGCGAGTATCTGGGGATTCTCCATGATCCACCCACGGGTTGAGACTTTACTAAGCTCCTGACGTTTGGAGGCACCATCATACCTACTCGCGAGCCATACTTGGTTATGCCAGGGGAGGCCTACTATGATATGGGATTGCCTCTCTCTTTTTTATTTTTTGGCAGCGTTTGTGTTGGAGCTTATCTAAAGGGGGACACATCCTGCATTATTTTGTTGGGTGGGGGGAGCATGGGGGCTTTCCTTGGTCCAACCTTGGATTGGGCCTTTAATGTGCAACTGATGATTGGAAGTGCATTCAACATTATCCGCCAGACTCTCTTCTATCGGGGGACGCATACCAGGAAATCAGATGGTGTTGCCATTTCCTTTTTATATATTGTTTTCTTTGGGTGGGATTTTTTTGGGTCATAGCGAATGCTTCACACTGCGTTTGAATGTGACATTTCTAGCCTATCGTCGTTTATAGGCATGTTTACTGTATATATGCCTCCTTCATATTTTTCTGTTGATTTACTTTCCCTACACTTGTCTTTTCTTTCCTTGCCCTTGCTCAGACATTTAACCACTGTTAGTGCCACTGTGTCCCATCCATGAGGTCTACCCTATTGTATAGTGAATATTGTTGTAGGGGAGGGAGCTGGGGTAGGTGGAGTAGGCTAGCGCCTCCACGGAGGGGGGAGGCAGGGGGTACAGCCTGGCTCGCATATAAAAGTCGAGTGCTGCCTTAGGTTCCTCACACAGTTTCCCACATGTGGGGCGCTGGGGTGTTGCTGGAGGAGATGCGACTGAAGATTTTCTCTTATTAAAGAATGGAATGGGGAGATGAATCATGAGGGGGAGAGGAGCAGAATTCACTTCTATGAAGGGTTAAGGACAATGGAACAAGGTGCTAGTGTGGCAACACAAGAGCTCGATCAGCTCACAGTACCAGGAAACTACAAATTAATATTGTTCTGGTACAGGAAGCCCACCCTCTTCCACAGGATATTTCCTAGTGTGCCACCTACTTGCTGGAGATGCCAGGCTGATAGAGGCACGGTGTGGCATATATGGTGGGACTGTTCAGAAATTACCTCTTTTAGGACATGGTGAGGGATGAGGTGACCGATATTTTCTCAGGAATTCAGTTGAGTGGTCGGGGGAGCTCACTCTGGCACACGTTTTCAAAACCTATTTCGGTCTCTAAGAAATCCATCTTACGCCACTTGCTTAATGCGGCTAAAGCCCTGATTCAGTTTTTTGGGAAAAAGACCGAGATTCCAACTAAGGAGGCTTGGTTGTACAGGGTTGAGGATATACAGGCAGCTGAGGCGCTACATGCTTCTCTGCTCAGGGGGAGAGTTCCAGACAGACGGAGGCCTGGCAACCAGGGTTTGTTCATATGGCACGCGATCTGTGATGCTTGAACAGACATGAGTCGCGGGGAGCGCTTGATCGCCTGGTACGGGAACCCTTCTTGTTTCTTTTCTCTTCATCTACTTACACACTCTCTCGTTATGCTGTCCTTTCTAGCAGGCCTTATTTCTATAATAAATGGAGGCAAGGGCTGAACTCCCCATGTAGCACTGGCTCACTTACTGCATTAAGGGAAAACTCAGGTAGCAGCTAATGCTGGGATCCTCTACATATCATGGTAATATACTATTTTCCACTATCTGGCGGTTCTGGACCATAAGTTGGCGACTATCAGAGAGTTAACACCGTAATTGAACTCCTGTAAAATGTATACACTTGTATTTTTTATATAATTGCATATATAGCGACCTGCGTGCCTATAATTCCTGGTCTTTGCAAATCTCAATAAAAAAAATAAATATATAAAATATATATATGTATATATTGTTTTAACATTATCAAGTATTAAAACCGGTGCAGAGAAAGGAAGCCAAGAACTAATTTGTTTTCATTCGGATAACGAACAAAAACAGGAATAACAGGAATAAGCATGCGCTTGTGATCTTTCAAGCACAATGTACACATATTATGTATACCTGGCTATAGTGAACTCTATCATATACAAATATATTTAGAAGACCAAGTACCTTTAAAGGATCACTATAGTGTCAGGAAAACAAATCGGTTTTCCTGACACTATAGTTCCTGAGGGTGCCCCCACCCGTGGTGCTGAAGGGGTTAAAATCCCTTGAGTTAGTCACCGTCTTCCACCGCCGGGCTCCCTTACCTCTCCTCCCCCTCCATTTTTCAATGCTTTCCTATGGACGCTCTGCGTGATGGAGGCATAATATGCCTCCAACGTTGCAGATGCGCCTCTAGTGGCAGTCCGGAAGACAGCCACTAGAGGCTGGCTTAACCCAAAACGTAAACATAGCAGTTTCTTTGAAACTGCTATGTTTACAGCAGGCAGGGTTAACCCTAGAGGGACCTGGCTCCCTGACCACTTCATTGAGCTCAAAGTGGTCTGGGTGACTATAGTGTCCCTTTAATAAATCGTCTGGATTGCAAATTTATTGCAGTAACCAAAACTTTCATAAATTGGCAACAATATAATATGAAAACTATCAAAATGTTTTAAAGTTTCCCTACATGCATTAAAAAAGTAAAATTAAAAGAGTGTAAAAATAAAATTAAAAAAATACAGTTTTTTATATTGATCTTGGTGTCTAGAGACGGTTTCTGCATTCTACAAATGCAGACATTGCCATGGCAATGCTTATATTTGTCAGTCACTGGATCTCATCCTAATGTAGACTTTCAATTATTCAGGTAAAGCATGATGCCTCCGATGGCTTTTCATAGAGCAGCAATATATTCATTGCTACTCTATGAAAAGCATTTGATTGGCTGAGAGCAGCAATTGCCCCACACATGTTGCTGGACCCCTAATCATCTAGATGAGTCCAAGATCATTCGTCATAATGATCTCAGAAGATCAGCTGTAGGCATTGTTCATGGGAGGGTTGTGTGTTCTGCCTACTTTCAGATACAGCCCAACCCACTCTTACTGGAACTACATATTTTAGGATAATGATCTTACCCACTTTAACCAAGAATTAGCACACATTTTCCCTTACGCATTATCTTGGAATAAGGGGGTAGGGGGGATATCGCAATATTTTCCTCTAACTGTTTAGTGGTAGGCAATTACATTAATGAATGTGTTTCACTCTTTGTGACATAGCATTAATAATCAAAATGATCTAAAACAGCAACTCCTAACTGGTTAATCGTAAAAAAAAATTAAAAAAAATAAAATTAGAAATAAAATAAAATTTGACAATTTACCAAACATATTTCAAAAATATAAATTCATATGTATTTCACACTTAAATGATGTTAAAAACTATAATCAATGGAATAGTCAAATAAAATAGAACTTTGTAACTAACATACCAAACAAATTTGATATATTTGTAAAGTGAAAAGTACTCTTATTAAGTGTTCTTGCATAGCAAGACCACTTATTGTTATCTCACATATATATTATTCTTCTTATTATAGCCAAATTTGCCACCCTAACTCCTCCCACAGTTTTTACACTACATAGACAAAAATTTACCAAAACGTGCAGATTGTTCCCAATCGGGTTGCTATTACTTTGTGGAACGTTTCGCCGAATGGTTCACGGAATATCGTCGTTCTTGTGGCGCAATTTGTCCCATAGGAATGAATGGCAAAGCTAGAGTGGGAGTTGGCAAAAGATGAAAAATCAGGACATGAATTCTAAACTGCCACCACTCCCTTATTTTCAGGCCCACCTACACAAATCTTATATCAAAACGTTCAGCTATCCCTGCTGCCAGTAAACATGTCAACGGCTAAGCCATAGTCCTGATAGTTTTCACAATATAATCATTTGTTTGTAACTAACGCCGTCCATTGACATTCATTGAAACTTCACTCTACAAAGCTCAAATTTGAAGTGCAATTTCTAAACTGCGACTGTGCCTTCATTTTTAATACTTCAGAGACATACTATGCATCAAAATGTAGGGCTGGGTCTTGTGATTCTCACAATATAAAGCTCTTCGCTGTAGGATTTATAGTTTTTAAAATACGACAGTTTGAAGATGGCAACCGCCAAAATACTCTGACCTATGTCAGGCTGCAGCAGCAAGTGATGTCATAGACAGGGCCTTTTGAACACCTGCTAATGTTTTTTATAAATGTATGGTTTAATGTAACTGTGCAACAACGTTGCAATTAAATGTGCTATATAAATGATAACAGTTACTCCGCCCACTCCCGTTGTAGACTACTGGTGGAGGCAAGAACACTTCACACAATTTCCCCAGAAATCGTAGCTTTTCTAGTTATCCTTTTATTTTCCTAAGGCAACCTCAAAATAAATAAATGTGGGGCACAGTGGGAAGAGATCAATATACCATGGTGGCCACGTCACATATACAACTGCCCTTTCGCCTATTCTCACATTATTTTTGTTGCAGAATAAGTTGGAAACATTCAGAGTCGTCATCAATTAAAAAAAATATATACAAAGAATGAACGGGGTTGCGTTATTCTAATTGACCTGAAGGTTTTTGTTTTTTTTAATAGAATTATTATTTCCACAGAAATGCATTTTGTTACAATCCATTCAAGTATATAGTGACTATTAAGTGCTATGGTAAATATAGGTGTACCCAAGGTTCCTCTGACTTAAATCTAAAACCAAAATGAAAACAGAACAAAAACATTAACATATTCTCATTATTTTTGTTTATGATGATAAGATTGGTACAGCATAGATTTGTACAGCAATTAAATGGTGTAAGAAGGTCGCCATCACCATAGGTGGGTTTAGAATCACGGTGGAGATTATATGACAAAGGGAAAAAAAAAAATCACACTATACAGGGTTATTCACGAAAGTAAAAATCTGAAGTTTTCTAGTTTGGCTATTTTGACCAGAAATTTGAAATTCACGTTGAGTTCTCACTTTACTGAAAAATCCTGTAGAGAATCATTTAACTGACCATATCGATAAAAACCTCAGACTTTTCAATAGATACAAGCAGATAACACAGAGGCACAGCTCATTCTTAGAGGAGGAAGGACATTATCAATACACAAGAGTTTCCAAATTTTCCTTGTCAATGAAAAAAATATATATATTAAGTGAAATAGAATTTAAAAAGCATCTGAACCATGTAGGCAACAATTCTACAACTTTAATGTTCATATTAGTGGTTCTCTGAACAACAATGTGCAAAATTTCCATGCTAAGTATCAGTAAACCTTATCTTGAAGTGTTCTAGAATGCCTTTAAAAGAGCAGCTTCTATTAAACCACACTATGTCACGAGTGGTCATTTGGCCAATGTTTTCAACTACACCAAAAGAAGAATAGGAGGCAATTTCACATCATTGTAAATTCATGAAAATAGCAAATGTGGAGAATTTAGAAGAATCTAGAAGAGCAATACTTTTTATTTTGTTCAGCTGAGATCTCTCGTCAATTCTTGCTGTTTAAGTCCCTACGACATGTTGTTTGTCCAGTCTGTGAGGAGCTAGAATATGTGAGGACACAAGAATCCTTCATGTAAAATGACACATTGACTGTGGAAATGTACACTAGTGAGATTTCACAAAGTGACACTGTTGATTTAAGTGTAAAATACTGTTCTGTCTTGTGGGTTGAGAAATACCATGATGGTAAGGAAAATAAAATTCTTTAGAACACACGAAAACCAAACCTTTATTTGTTTTTGCCACAAAAGTGCCAAGGTCCCTCTCCGTTAAGTGCATGTTCTTACGAGTCATTAGTATGAGATATTTTCTTCCATAAAAGAGCTTTTAAATTGTTTAATATTAATGAATGTTCCATTTCCATCTGCTTGGCTGCAATTCTGAGGGCAATGCAAGAATAAAGCTGCTTCTCCAACTCTTCTCGAATTTCAGAAGGAGTTCCACGCAGTAGATAGTCCTTCACTAGAAGGCAGACTTTTGCCAAATTTGGTTGGGTTATATCAGCTGTGCACCTCTTTTTACTTTGGTCGCACGAAGTACGGCAGTCTGTACCATAAACACATTCATTATCAGACTCACATGGCCTGTCTTTTATAAAGTCCTTCAAGCTAATTTCTGGTACTATTTTTCTCATGTCCACCATTTTCAAGTCATATTTATTGTTATATCCAAAGTTGTTGGCACTTACATCACACATGAAAAAGTTTCCATAAGGCCCATGGAAAATGTCTTCCACAAATTCCAGAAGACCTATAACTATCTTGGCTTTCCTTGGCCAAGATGGAGTGAACCATTGGTCCATACGTTTTCTGAGGCCAACAGGAATAAATACTTCAAATACCCATGGCAGGCTTATTCCATACAGATATGTGTATGGTACTCGCTCAGTTATATAAAGATCCCCACAAAATCCCAGGAGTTTTGGTGTGTGTTCCTTATCTTGCAAGATCACCATCAACAAGAACTCATTGAGCTGTAATAGTGCCCATGCTGACTTGGCCTCAGGAAGTGACACGTGGCCATCTTTATTTCCATCCGCTGCATTCAGGATCAGATTTACTAGATCTCGAAGATTACCTTGATCACCCAGTTTAGTCTAAAAAACAAACAAAAAGAAAATTAAAAGTATATTGAGAACAGTAACAAATATACAGTGGAAATCTGGACTGACTGGCAGACTAAATGGAATATAGAAATAAAGTTGTCAAGAGGTCCCTAGCGCAGGCTTCCCTGTAGGGCTAAACTGTTCGTTAACAGTTCAAACCATAAAGTCAGTGCTCCAGCAATAAATCGCTCTGCCCTGCTGGCTTTCCACCTTCTGAAATTCTTCATAACAAAAGGCTAGGAAACCATCAGGTACGGGTGTCCGCTGATTGGCTTAGAGTGGTCATTTGCCACTCAGTAAGTGCCCCCTTCTGGCACCAAAAAAAATCTTTTAAAAAAGATACGTACCTTTTCCAAGAGTAATCCAGCACTGGAGGACAGACTTACATTTACAAATGGTTTAACCCCTAAAAGCCAGTGCCCGGGAACCTTTGGCACCATAACAACTTAATGTAGATGAAGATGTTATGATTCCCCAATTGTTCCTTTAACTTTTGCCATTGCAATAGGAGACCTATCATTCAATCATATACCAAGATATAAAGTATTCAAACTATTTATTTAAAAAAAAAAAAAAATCTTATGGTTAAAGGAATTAATTTTTTTTTTACATATAATAAAAAAAAAAATTAAAAAAAAAATAAAGTTTCCTTTTAAAACCGGAAGAAAGTATTATACAAAAAAAATAATAGTTTTGAGGTCACAGTTGTCCTTTAAAGAAACATTATATTGTTAGGAATACAAACGAGTATTTCTAATGCTAGAATGTTAGAGTGATAGTCTACCTATTTAGATGTTTAGACTTCCAGAAGTAAGAAAATAAAATGTTTAATTGCCTTTATTCCCCTAGCTTGTCTGTCTCTCCACAGCTGTACTGCCTCCGCTAGCTAAGTTCATCATTACTAATTATCCCATAGGAAAGCATTGGGGCTAGTGCACATGTGGCTATTGCCACACTGTGACCAATCTGCATTTCTGCATAGAGATGCACCGAGTTAATGCAGTTCTATGGGGAGTGATCATTGTCTCCATGCAGAGACCATGTAGGTCATGCAATCTTTGCAGGACTCATCCACAAAGTCCCTCTAGTGGCTGTCCAAGGGACAGTCAGCCGACGTGGTGTTGGGAAGCAACGTAAGCACGGCCTTTACTCACAAAAGGCCAAGTGTACACTGTTAAGCCTGCAGAGACAGACCCTTTGCCACAGAACCACTATATTAAGCTGTGGTGGTTCTGGTCCTTATAGTGTCCCTTCAACAGGCCATGTAAAAGCAGCAGAGGAAGACTGAGCTGAATCCAATCATAAAACGGTTAATGTTGCATTTCACCAGTGACAACCTTCAAATTCTGCTCTTGCCGGAAGCCGGATATAAAACAAAAAACACCAAAACAAACCCCATCACAGTTGGGGTCATAGCAGAAACCATCAGCAAGGTGGAGATTTACTTTTTAAGGCAATGCCAACAGTCCCTGGGTCAAAGTTTAAGCCAACTTTGGCATTGGAAGCGG